AAAAAAAAAAAAAAAAAAAAAAAAAGCCAACATGGAAATCTTGTTTAAAAGAGAAAGCCAAATTTCACCCTTTACATTTGTGTGCTATTGATGTCAAACTCAATTCTTAATAAAACCTTATAGACAAATCAATCTTAATCAGCTTGACCACAAGGCAAGATTCTCTTATACCTTTTATAACCCTTTACAAATTTTTGCTAAAGAGATCAGTTCTCTAAGGAAAACCCTGTTGTGCTTTTATTCCAATATTCAATTTACAGAACAATTGAAGAATATCTGATATGGTTTAACTGTGTCCCCACCCAAATTTGATCTTGAACTGTAGCTCCCATAATTCCCATGTGTTATGGGAGGGACCCAGTGGGAGATAATTGTATCATGGTGGCAGGTTCCCCCGTACTGTTCTCATGGTAGTGAATTAAGTCTCATGAGATCTGATGATTTTATAAGGGGTTTTCCTTTCTGCTTGGCTTTTCATTTGCCCTTTGCCTGCCGCCATGTAAGTTGTACCTTTCCCCTTCCACAATGATTGTGAGACCTCCCTAGCCATGTGGAACTCTGAGTTCATTAAATCTCTTTTTCTTTTCTCTTTCTCTTTTTTGAGATAGAGTCTCACTCTGTCACCAAGCTGGAGTGCAGTGGTGCAATCTCAGCTCGCTGCAACCTCCACATCCTGGGTTCAAGCAATTCTCCTGCCTCAGCCTCCCGAATAGCTGGGACTACAGGTGTCTGCCACCGTGCCCAGCTAATTTTTGTATTTTCAGTAGAGACCGGGTTTCACCATGTTGGCCAGGATGGTCTCAATCTTTTGACCTCGTAGTCTACCTGCCTCGGCCTCCCAAAGCACTGGGATTACAGGCGTCAGCCACTGCCACCACATCCAGCCCTCTTGTTCTTTGTAAATTACCCAGTCTTGGGTATGTCTTTATCAGCAGCATCAGAAAGGACTAATGCAAAAACCCTTTCACTTTAGCCAATATTTTCACACAGAATTTTTTTTACAATATTAACCTTCTACAATTTGCTCAAACCTTCAGCTTTTTCCTATATAACTTAAAACAATCTTTTAACCTTTTAATTTAGGCAAAAAAAAAAAAAAAATCCACATTCCCATGCCATCTTATAACCTTTTATCAAAAACACATTTTACTTTCCTTACACACCTTGCATACAAAACTGTTTCTCCAGTAGTATCAAGTACATGTTAACAGTCTCAAGTACTGTTAACTCTTAGGAACTTTTTAATTTTTGGTGAAAAACCTGGCAAGTAAGCACTTTTGATTGTGTACTAGCTAGGTATGGAGCCCAGGACACCAGGCAGAAATAAAAATAGGGTCTGACTTCAGCATAGCCAGGGCCATGGTTAACTCCACCAAATGTCCCCAGGCCTTACCTAAAATCAAATGGCTCCAAAGCAGATAAGTTGAAAAATTTTCAAGAATCCAAGAAGCAGTTTATGACCTTAAAGTCTTTAGCAAACCTAATATCTGACCTGCCTAATGTCTTTGTTTTGAAGACATTCTTATTTTACCTATGATTTTAAAAACTATCTTTATTTCCCAAAGATTACATAAGTCACATGAACTAAGAGGAGTCACATTTTTATGTTTCTGACAAAATATTTTATTTAAGCCAATTAATCAGAGCTCTTTCATATAAACATTACACATGTAACACATGTAAATACACAGACAGACAGAAGAAGATCCAGTAGTTGTAAAATTTTTTATTGCCAGTTTCTTAATTGGATTATGGGCTTCAGGGTCCTGTCCCCTGAATGGCATAGACCAAGAGAAAGTATCACCATGTGGTTACAAGGTGAAGCTCCCAAGGACATAAAACAAAATGACAGGGAAACCTCATCCAGTTTTTTTGTTTGTTTCAAGGACCTCTGACCAGGAGTTTCAACATGTGGTCCCTGGGCAAAATGGTTGCCCTGAGTACAAGAAAATATAGGAAAGGGAAAGGAAAGCAAGAGAGAGGAAAGCATTGCCTGGGGCAGGGTGCAGAAGGTGAAGAGCTCAGGGAGGCCAGAGAAAGACCCATCCATTGCAGCAACACTGACTCAAAAATTCAGGTGGCCACTTGTCATCCTGAAGGGATCAGCTCTCAAGTTTCCCCCTTTAGGGAGAAAAAAAGGTCCCCATGTCCCATGATGTTGTACATGCTTAATCCTGCCACCCACAGCCATCAGCAAAGAGTGCATGGCAAATTAACCCAAAGAGAATAGCAGTATCTTGTTAGTGCCAAATCCATTTTTAACAAAGAGGGACTTTACTGAGAGGGACCTCTAACCCCTTAAATCTTAGGAAGGACTCTAACCCTCCTAAATTGGGCCTCCAACACGAGTTTGATCAAATATCCTTGCCTTTTATTAAGAGGGGCCTTTAACCCACTCTGTCTTAGGAGAAACTCTAACTCCCCTAAGTTGGGCTTCTAACCCAATCATCTCATTCTTTACCCAGGTAAAATGTACCACTTACCCCAAGTCAGCCAATTGGTGTTGCAGTCTATTTCCTTTGGGTTAAGGGCCTCCTCCATATTGTCCTAGCATGGTTCACCAGGAAAGGGGTCCCAATCCAGACCCCAAGAGAGGGTGCTTGGACCTCCCACAGGAAATAATTTCAGGTGAATCCAGAGTGAAGTGAGAGCAAGCTTATTAAGAAAGTAAAGGAATAAAAGAATGGCTATTCCACAGACAAAGCAGCATTTTGGGTTGCTGGACTGATAATACTTACAGTTGTATCTTGATTGCATGTGAAACAAGGGGTGGCTTATTCATGAATTTTCTGGGATAGGGGTGGTGGGCAATTCCCAGAGTGACAGAGGTAACTTCTGTCACGATCTAGGTTTTCGTGGATTTGGGCTGGCTTCTTTACCCCATGCTGCTTTATCAGCAAGGTCTTTTGCTGAATTATTTGGCAGTGTTCCAAAACTAAACAGGACTGGGGTTGGGGTGCAGGGTACAGTTTTCCTCCTTTCTTTGTCTTGCACAAGGGACACAGCCTCATTTCCAGGACATTAGAGGGTATCCCAAGCGGAGGGCCTTTCCCACCCCTGATTCTGCCCCTTTTTTCATTTTCTGTATTCATCTCTCCCCGGACTTCACACTAAGACTCTTTCTTTCCTCTTTTTTCTCTTCATTCATTTTTTCATTCAAAACATATTTATCAAACTCCTGAGCACTGACCCAAGAGAAAAAGATAGTCGCATCCTTGTTTCCAGTAGGGGAAAGGACAGAAACGCGCAAATGCAAAAAAAAAAAAAAAAAAAAAAAAAAAGTACATATCTACTAAGTCCCTATTTGTCACCAAACTAAGGCACATCAAGGTTAATTAACTTGCCCCAAGGCCGCAGCTATAAGGATTTCAATCAGGGCCACTGGTCAGAGATCATGCCATTAGCCACCAATCCATGCTGACTTCCTGCTTATCACAAATAAAGGAGTAGGGCTCCATGCCATTTGTCAACTAACGTAGAATGTTCCATACTGTAAATATTGTGTGTGAGGTGGAGGGATGTTCTCCATACAAAATAAAGTTCATAAGAAATGCAGTCATTATGAAAAGGAGGATTGTGAATTCCTCACATATCCAAGAAGGGCATTTTGAGGGGAAAAGTAATGCTCCTGGTATTGGGATGTGTTGGAATTGGATTTTCCTGAATAGGGCCAGCCCATTCTTACATTAGCAAGCCAAGGGTCAGATTTAATTAGCACCAAGTCTTGGTTGATTTATCTTATGAGTATGAGACTGACTCACTGTCTCCATTTGACATCTGGAATTGTACTTCATTCAGGGTGAGGCTATTTAGCCATCTGAAATCGGATTCCTCAGCAACTTCACCACACTCGGGACTGTGGAGACTGCTCTGTGCTCTCAGGAAACTACTGTCTTAAGGTGAATAGGGGTCTGGGAAGTGGGAGAGGGGAGGGAGCAACAGGGACTCCACACACAGCATTTTCTTCACCTTCATCCAGGGCTGCTTGCATGGTGATCAGTGGTGAGTGTCTGCTTGGGAAGGGGCTCAAGCCCATCCTTACCCTGAGCCTTTGAGAGCAACTGGCCTGGTCCCACCCTACGCTTCCCTCAAGGCCTAAAACCTGGGCTGGGTAGGGGCATAGTGGGCATAGGACAGACAGAATGTTAGAGAAGAACAGAACCATGGAGATTAGGGACCCATGCAAAGTCATTAACTTTAAAAGCTGTGGTCTGTGCAGATTTGGGGGCATTCTGGAAGTGGCCCACAAACCGCTATAGGACAGGGCGCGGGGCTCTGAACTACCATATGTCACCTATCAGGCAGAGCACTTTCGATTTTACATGCTCTGTTTTTGGGAAAGGCAGTGATGGCCATAAGTCTGTGCACCGAGTACCTTCACGTTGCCACTGAGAGGTCAGCTAGAGCCATAGGAAGTGGGAAAGGAGTTGCCATTGATACTGTCTTGTAGGAATCTCAGTCCCTCTGCTTCATCCCACTCCACCCTACTGCTTGGCTCAGACTTCTAAATTGTCATTATGAAGGCATATGGCCCTGATGGAGTCTCTACCACCTGCAACGTCAGAAAAGGGGCACAGCGTATGACAGGAGATGAGGTACTGCACTTCTTGTCTCTGGGCCTCAGTTGGTTTGTTTCAAAATGCAAGAGTAGGATTAGGTCGCTCTCAGGTGTCTCCCAGTGCTAGGTTGTGTCTAACTGGATGGCGTAGGTTCATGTTGGCCTCGTGGTTTTTGCAGAGGTCTGCTGGCTCCGGCTCCTGGCTCCTGCAGGTACATGTTCAGGCTTGCCTGTTTCCACAGTCCACTGCCTGTGCCCTGCCTGTTGGCCCCAGAGCCTTCATAGCCTGTGTTAAGTTTCATTTCTCCAGGTGCTCCCCCTTGCTGCCCCAGGGCCCAATCAATAATGTCCTTCTCCCCAAAACACCCTTGCTGAGCTTTCCCACCTCTGCAGTGGGGCCATCTGGGGCAGGACAGCAGAGACAATCCTTTTTTTGTTGTTTTTAATATGGGTAAAATACATATAAAATTTACCATCTTAATAATTTTTAACTGTATAATTCAGTAGAATTATATACATATGCATTGTGCAGCCATCACTGCCACCCATTTCCAGAACTCGTAATCTTGTAAAATTGAAACTCTGTACCCATTAAACAACAACTCTCTGTCCCGTACTCCCCCCAGCCCTGGGAAACCACCATTCTACTTTCTGTCTCTATGGATTTGACTGTTCCAGGTACCTCATATAATTGGGATCATACAGCATTTGTCTTTTTGTGGCTGACTTAATTTCACTTAGCAGAGTGGAAGACCTTCAAGATTTATCCTTGCTCTAGAATATATTAGAATTTCCTTTCTTGTGAAGACTGAATAATGTTCCATTCTATGTATATATTTTGTCTGTTGATGGATGCCTGAGTTGCTTCCATCTTTTAGCTACTATGAACAATGCTGCTATGAACATGGGTGTATAAATATCTCTTCCAGACTAGGCTTTCAGTTACTTAGGGTATTTACCCAAAAGTGGGTTTACAGGATTATATGATAATTCTATTTTTAATTTTTGACAAACTGCCATATTGTTTTCTATAGCAGCTGTACGATTTTACATTTCCACCAACGGTGCACAAGGGTTTCAATTTTTCCATGTCCTTCCAAACATGTTGTTTTCAGATTTTTTGTTTGTAGCCATCCTAATGTATGTAAGGTGATTTGGATTTTCATTTTCCTGATTAATGATGTTAAGCATCTTTTTATATGCTTGTTAGCTGTTTGTATATCTTCTTTGAGAAGTATCTATTTGAGTCCTTCATTTTTAATTGAGTTTTGTTGTTGTTGTTGTTGTTGTCGAGTTGTAGTTCTGGATATTAACTTCTCATCAAATATATGATTTATAGATATTTTCCCCATTTTGCAGGTTGCCTTTTCACTCTGTTTATTGTGTCTTTTGATGCACAAAGGCACACTTAAAAAAAAATTAGAGACAGGGTCTCACTCTATCCCCCAGGCTGGAGTGTAGTGGCATGATAATAGCTCATTGCAGCCTAGACTTCCTAGACTCAAGCAATACTCCAGTCTCAGCCTCCCAAGTAGCTGGGACTGCAGGTACACATGACAGTAATCAGAAAATTTTTAGAGATTTTTTTTAGAAATGAAAGTCTTTCTATGTTGCCCAGGCTGGTCTAGAACTCCTGGCCTCAAGCGATCTTCTTGTCTTAGCCTCCCCAGTAACTGGGATTACAGGTGCCAGCCACTGTTGCCAGCCTTAGGCACACTCTTTATCCATGCATCTTTTTATGAAATACTCAGTGTCTATTTGATCCCAGGTCTGGGCCTAGCATTAAGGGAGGCAGCAATGAATGGCTCCTGACTTGTGTTGGTCAGTTTTGCATTTCTGTAAGGGAATACCTGAAGCTGCGTAATTTATAAGAAAAGAGGTTTATTTGGCTCATGGTTCTGTAGGTTCTACAGGCATGGCACCGGCATCTTCTCAGCTTCTGGAGAAGCCTCGGGAAGCTTTTACTCATGGCAGAAGTTGAAGGGGAGCAGGTGTGTCGTATGGCAAGAGAGGGAGCAGGAGAGAGAGGAGGAGATGCCAGGCTCCTTTAAACAACCAACTCTTGCATGAATAAGCAGAGTGAGAATTCATTCATTAGCATGGGGAGGGCACCAAGCCATTCAAAAGGGATTTTCCCCCATGACCCAAGCACCTTCCACCAGGCCCCGCCACCAACAATGAAGATCACGTTTCAACATGAGATTTGGAGGGGACAAACATCTAAACCATAGCAGTCCTTGACTTTAGAGAGCTCCAAACCCAGCAGAGGAGATAGAGAACAACATTGCATTGTGGGAAATTCTATGGCAGAAAGGACATAGTGGACTCACATTTGAGTGCATAGGTGGAGGTATAGCTGGTCAAGGGAGATTGGGAATGTGTGGAAGTCTTCCTGGAGAATATGTAAGATGGTGGGGTCCTGAAAATTTTCCTGGATCTGGCACATAAAGGATCAGAGGCCTAAAAGAGCAGGGAATGACTCCTATTTGTTCCTCAGGACAGGAACATAGCCGGATTTTGGCAGCAATAAGTTTAGGGAGAGGCAAAAGCCAGTTCATGGGTGGCTTGCTTATTCTACGGGCCATACAAGGCTGCTGAGGGGTTTTAAACAGATGGGTGGGTCAACACCATCACTTTTCCCTGTACCACAGCAGCCAATAGATACGTCTCCATTCAGTGTTTTATATTCCTGACCTTGGACAGTAAGAGGTGTTGGTAGACTAGGATGGCAGTGATGGAGGTATTATGAAGTGGTCAGATTCTGGACATATATTAAAGGGTAAGTCAACAGGATTTATTAACAGACCGGACATGGAATGAGATGAAAAGAAAGGAGTTAGGGATGATTATATCAATCAAAAATAACAACAAAGAGAGGGGCTCTTCAAAGAAAAGAGTTTATTAGAGAATGAATGACAGAGGATTGCAATCTGGGATTACATGTGCTGTGGTGAACCATGAGAGTAGAGCATAGACATACCCAGAGAGGTAAAGGAAGGGATCCAACTCCATTTGTGTTGCTATAAAGCAGAGGTGTCCAGTCTTTTGGCTTCCCTAGGACACATTGGAAGAAGAAAAATTGTCATGGGCCACACATAAAATGCACTAACACTAATGATAGCTGATGAACTAAAAAAAAAATTGCAAAAAAATCTCATAATGTTTTAAGAAAGTTTATGAATTTGTGTTGGGCTGCATTCAAAGCCATCCTGGGCTACATGCAGGTCACGGGCCATGGCTGGACAATCTTGCTATAACGGGATACATGAGGCTGGGTAACTTATTAAGAATAGAATTTTATTTGGTTCACAGTTCTGCAGGCTGTACAGCCATAATGATTCTGGCTTCTACTTCTGCTGAAGGCCTCAGGCTGCTTCCACTCATGGTAGAAGGAACTGGCACGTCACATGGTGAGAAAGAGTTTCAGGGTTTTCTTCAACAAACAGTTCTCACGAGAACTGAGAGTGAAAATTCATTCTCATGAGAATAGCACCAGCACATTCATAAAAGATCTGCCCCCATGATCCAGACATCTCCCACTAGGCCTTACCTCCAACACTGGGAATCAAATCTTAGCACAAGACTTAGGGAAGCCAAACAAACCATATTTAAACTGTAGGCTCAATAATCATTTTGTAATCTGTGAATATCAGGTATTCACCGAAATCAGAACCTCAAAGTTAACTACATAGGCATTTTCACCAGTAACTCAGAAGATTCAGCTCTTTTCATTAAACCAATAACATAAGTAGTCTTACTTATCAAAAAGTCTGCAGAAAGATCATTTTGTTTTGGGTAGGTTTATAGTTGTATAACCTTCTATGCCACACCCTGACACCTCAAACTACCTATCAGAGACATATATAAAATCCAGACAAAAACCTATGCTGAAAATTCTGAAGGTGCTTCTATTTTTACTTTACCAACATTTTTAAAGCCAGTTTTTTTAGTAAAGTTATACTTAAGTCACATGAACTTGACAACTCCTTAGACTTATTTACTTTTATTTAGGAACACTCTTATAAGCTAATTTGGTAGATACAATGTATAACAGTAAGTGTACATATGAATAAACACATCAGACATGTATACACACACGCCAACAGAGATCCAATAGCTTTTACCTCGGAAATCTAGCCATGAGATAGCAATACAAGCTCACTGGTTTTACTTTGTTTGTCCCAAGAGGTAATCCAATGAAGGCTGTGAACCCAAATTTTGGGTAAAGCAGTTTTTTTTTTTTTTTTTTTTGAGACGGAGTTTCG